TACGGAAAGCAGTCATTGGTAAATGTTTGAAAATAGGTGTGAGACTCGGATCAGAATGCAGGCTTTGGGGCATCACCCAAGTAAGACCAATAAACCTCTGAAGTGCTGTTTGAGTCACAGAACCAGGATATCCTTCTGCAGAGAAAAATGAGACCATTTCCTCAGGTTTTATTTTGAAATTATCATCGCCGCAATATATACGTCGAAGTCAGAGAAACTGACAACAAGGTATATTATTTTTGAGAGACGTTTACCACCCTAGATCATTAGATACCATACCCTTACCATCCTGGATTATTAGATACCATACTCTTACCACTCTAGATCATTAGACACCATACCCTTACCATCCTGGATTATTAGATACCATACCCTTACCACTCTAGATCATTAGACACCATACCCTTACCATCCTGGATTATTAGACACCATACCCTTACCATCCTAGATTATTAGAAACCATACCCTTACCACCCTGGATCATTAGATACCATACTCTTACCACCCTAGATCATTAGATACCATACTCTTACCACCCTAGATCATTAGATACCATACTCTTACCACCCTAGATCATTAGACACCATGCCGTTACCATCGTGGATCATTAGATACCATACTCTTACCACTCTAGATCATTAGACACCATACCCTTACCATCCTGGATTATTAGATACCATCCCCTAACCATCCTAGATTATTAGACACCATGCCGTTACCATCGTGGATCATTAGATACCATACTCTTACCACCCTAGATCATTAGATACCATACTCTTACCACCCTAGACACCATGCCGTTACCATCGTGGATCATTAGATACCATACTCTTACCACTCTAGATCATTAGACACCATACCCTTACCATCCTGGATTATTAGATACCATCCCCTAACCATCCTAGATTATTTGACACCATGCCGTTACCATCGTGGATCATTAGACACCATACTCTTACCACTCTAGATCATTAGACACCATACCCTTACCATCCTGGATTATTAGACACCATACCCTAACCATCCTAGATCATTAGACACCATACCCTTACCATCCTGGATCATTAGACACCATACTCTTACCACTCTAGATCATTAGACACCATACCCTTACCATTCTGGATTATTAGATACCATCCCCTAACCATCCTAGATTATTAGAAACCATACCCTTACCATCCTGGATCATTAGATACCATACTCTTACCACCCTAGATCATTAGATACCATACTCTTACCACCCTAGATCATTAGACACCATGCCGTTACCATCGTGGATCATTAGACAGAATCATCTTATATCATACGATACCATACGCTTACCGCCCTCGACCATTACCTGTCATATTCTACCACCCTAAACCATTAGATATGCACTTACCACACAAGCACGTCATCCTCACACAATCTTAGCACTCAAGAATACTTGATTTATTCATTAGAAACACCAATTCATCAAACAATGAGCATGATTTGACCAAGAAAAATAGGTAAAGGCAACTTTAACAATGCATGAAGTGAAGATGTATAATTATATTTTGTTGGTTTTCAGTTTGTGCTTTATTGGTGTTAGTTTCGACTGTTAATGCTGATATAGATTCAGATTATCTAGATTGTATGTATAGTCAAGAGACTAAAAATGGACGAACTCGCTGTACAGATGCCTTTTCGGGTCCTTCCCCTCAAGCAGGCCCAACTTTATTTTTTTCCGATCCTGAAATCAGCAACTATAGCAGGTGGGTTACACAAGCAATTCTTCTAATGTGTAAAATGAAAGATGGAAAATTTGAAAGTGGGTGTGGGAGGGGCGGGCAAAGACATTGGGATGATGTGGGACGTGTTATTTATTTTATAGTATAAATTGTCTTGAAGACAAAGAATAAATTCAAGGAAAGGTTCTTTTGGGCATTACACATAGAACACACACGAGGGGTCTGATTGACAACTTCAGTAGACTGTACTGGATCGGACAGACTTGTCTCAACATCTTTAAAATGCTCAAAGGCATGGCAATATTTCAGTTGAAAAATCGAATTTTGGGGGTGCTAAGGTGAATTCGAGTTTTAATTCTGAAAAGCAATGCGGATAGCTAAAACTTTCTCATCTTTATTTCCTAACACAAGGGTTACTTGATCCTGCGTCATTTGATTTTTAAGTCTCTTTTTTTTTCCAGATTGTTCAAAGCCGAGTATATAAAATGGGCAATCTGTTATAATTCAGTTGAAATTAACTGTTATAAACCTGAATATCAAGACCTGGCCATGTCTAATTGTGGTATACAATCCGCCATTGAATACTTCTTTGAAAGAGAGGCCGGTGAGTAAAAGTCATCTTTGTAGTTTTTTTTTTTTTCGTTATATCCAGACCGACCAGCATCTTCGACGTTCTTATGATGTTTCGGATGCCTAGAGGTGGGGTGAGTTTTAAATCCAAACCACCCAAAAAATAATCATAAATCTCCTTGAGATGTAGCAGGCTCATCTTCACAATGTCAAGCTATTTGATATATACATAGGGGATTTATAACTCAACCTATTAATGTGGTGTATCATAACTCTATTCCACCATGTTAATGTAGGCTTCACACTGTCCCGTTCATAGATATCCTATTAGAAGACCTTACCATGGGCAAAATAGACACACGCATTCAACCTTCGCAAGCTCCTGTGGAAACTTTTAGGCATGCCAACGATTTTGAAATCACTCACGAATAAGTAGCCAGAGCCTGAAAAACTCAGTCGGTGGTTGGCTAAGTATGTTTGAACATTAACTATATCGTGTGTGCATCTGGTGTCAATTTCGGCACAGTGTGAAGCGGCACTATAACTCCATACTCCAAGGTCAACCATGTCGTGTTTGTGGCTTCATGAAAGAATCTTTCAAAATAATCTAGTTTCAAAAAACAATAATTCTCGCTACCATTTTGCGTCCTTACGTTAATGAGTTAACATAGATAAAGGGACACTCCGCATTTTTGTAGGTAGAAAAATTGTTTTGCTCAAATTTGTGAAAACTATAAACAAAATCAAGAGAAATGTGCCCTTTAACATATCTGAAAGTTTTAACTAAAACAATCCAGTCGTTTATTTGTAAACGCCAAAAAATTTTAAAACATTATGTAGGGTTTTCAAGTTCGTTATGCTATTTGGAAGCTCTTAGAAAACTACTATAGGGAAATGGGTAAAATAAACTAATTGTAGATTAATATGTGTCCTACGTATTGTAAATGTTTCAACTAATACTATCTAGCCAAACACCAAAACTAGGTCAAACTGCTTAATTAATAATTTGTACTCTCTGTTTTCATTAACCCTTTTAAAGCAAATTCAGTTGGATCAAGTAGAACCATAGATCTAAATGACAAACTTTAGAAATATTTTCAGATATAATTTACGACGTTTTTGATAATGGAAACTTTTTACAAAAAAGCGGAATACCGCTTTAAGTAATAAAAATCAACCACCAAACTAAACTACGTTTATATATCACCTGAGGTCAACTCACTTACATAGAGATGCATCTCATTGAGATATTGGCTGTAGATAACTACGTTAAGTATTTTTATTTTAGATGGTAATATATTTGATCACATATGTGAAGGATTTAACAAAAGCAACACTGAATTTCTTGAATGTTTTCGTCAACTAGATGAACTAACAACTCCCTCTACTGGTAATATAACATATGAAGGGTACAAGTACAATCTCTGTCGGTAAGATGGTTTTTCTGTATTACCAGGCGGGAAGCAGGGGTTCTCTTTTCTGCCTTGATATCTATGGCGCTTAAGAAGCAAGATCACGATGGAAATAATACGATGCTGAAACGATGATGAAACGGGCATTGATGCACGTAGTGCTGTAGACATTTATACAAGGCTGTGTACATACGAAACATCGCGTCTACAGGACAAAAAGCTTCGAAATATGATTCCTACTCTTTACAGAGCCGTTTCACCAAGGATGGTTATGGCCCCGATAGTACAAGAACATTTTATTTTTGTTCGATCAGTCACACAAATAGTCGGAAAACCGAAGCCCCATGTGTTATAACATGCTGTGTTAAAGGTCCCTAGACAGTTGGAAATCGAAAAGGAGCAGGCTTATGGCGCTGTCCTGGCAAAATTGCCCTCATTGCACCCTTCAGCTTGCTTGGCGTTGCCCGTCTTCATTAGCCAATATGGTGCAGAAAAGTAGGACGTAAAACTCCATTCATTTTAATTTTTTCAATAATGGCTGTAGTTCATAAAATTGTGTTATAAAGCGCTAGCAGAACGTTCAAGGTAGGCCGTTTGAAGTGATCGTCTACTGTTCTCTAACAGTAGCCGTTAAAAACCGTCTGTCTGAAGTCGTCTTGGTCGATCAAGGTTTCTTGTGGCTCCCTGTGTCCCTGTCACCACCCACTTCCCTCGTCCATGAAATTCAATCGGGTCAAATAAAAGAACGATTGAATGCAATTCAGACTGGTCAAGCAGAATAAGAAATTCATCTGTGACAACTGGTGCATATCGGACCGATGGAAAAACAATCCTTCCTGAAATGGGGATACTAGTGTTCTGTAAAAGAAATCTCAACTCAGCTGTTATTAGTATCATTGTTTTTGCTTTTGATTCTAGCCGTCGACTGGTTGACATAGATTGTTATCGTAATAACAACGAATTTAAACAAGTATGTTCTGATACACAAACTACGTTTACTACCATTTTGGAAAAACAATTACCTCATGCTTGTGATGCTGGTAACGATGGAAACAATGGTTATGCTGGTAACAACACAAGAATATGGAGTTTGATTGTAATTACCTATCTGATCAGTTTATTTAACAATTAAAATATCAACACTCATTGATTAATATTTACATTGCTACTATCACTCCCTTCAATAAACCAGTTAGCCAAACCGGCGTTTATTTTCCAATAACTGTAGTTTGTCACGTGACAATAAGGCGTATGAATACATCGAAAACGAAAACAAGGATTGACCCAAGTTTTATACCTAGAGTCTAATCTTATTTTACAATTTATTGAAATTTACAATTGTTGTAATGGAATAATAAATATTTTATAATTCTATCATCCAAAAAATATTATTAGGGGCGGGGCGGTGAACTTGATTGACAGATATCGGTGAATTAAGCAACAACGGTTTCGGGTATTTTTACAATTAAAAAAAGAACATTTTAGCGTATTTTATCAGAAAAGATAAACCAATGTAAATATAAGGAATGAATGTGGATCTTGTTATCGTTATGGGGAAATAAACGCTGGTTTATCATGTGACAAGACGTACATAATAATTAAATAATGTTTTAATTTATTAAATCTTTTAGGATGATTTTCCATATTTTGTAGTGTTAAATTCAAATTCAAATTCTATATTTTCCTTGAACCTAAAGGCTCATCAGAATAGAACATAATACATAATGTTTACAAACATACAAATAATATACAATATACAAATATTTACACATATTTATGACAGAGAGAGGGAGAACAAATTAGTTTATTGTATTAATCGCTTAGTTTAAATATCTCATTTCAGTGTCAAATTAAAGAAACTATTTGATTAATTTGTGTTTCTAATGAATTATCATGTATTCTTAATCATATCATTATGTTCTTATTGCATATAATTAAGAGTTTTAACCAATCATACATGTCCTTACCATCTATATAAACAAACAAAAAATACTTTTTGACCTTCCTTGATCGGTTTTTGATACTGTTTTTTTTATTAATTTATTAAATCGAGGGGGCCCGAAGAAATGGATTGCATCCCCGAAAACTTGACCGCCGACCAATATTATCATCTCACCCCATTGCCCCTCCGATATCAAATGACCACCCTCCTCCAATCAATCAAGTTTGGGTACTGCTGAGATACAAACATATCACCTTTACTCCATTGTTGGGAAAATAATAGACGTCGGGGTATATGAGATAAAACGTCTGGAAACACAAAGAACATACTTCAATTAAACACCCAGCGCTCTGCACCATAACCAACTGACAGAACTATCCAGCTGTTTCAAACATGATTAGAAATACAAACTGATAACTCGAACATATATTGTACTCGACCCTGACTGGCCATGTCATGGTCTTTCGTAGTTGAACGTGGTCTAGGGATGGTCCCCCTGACAAAGAGAACGTTGCTTGTTTTTTTTTTATCTAAAAGTCGCACGCGTCGAGAAAGCGAACAAGGTCGCGGAAAGGACACATTGGTCGAGGGACAATCGAGGGACAGTGACAGTCTTCTCCAGCGAGAACTGATTGCGCATTGTTGTGTTGCTCGACACTCACTCAATCCGTGTGATCTAGCTTCATTCCTTTTCCAATCAAGCAACTCTGCTCAACCTTATGGTCGGCCACCGATCGCCTGGCCTTTCTATACGGTCGTAGAGAGTCGCAGACAAATCCGGTTGACCGTGACAGATTATATTGCATCTAAATTGTATTGATCGTTGGACCTTGTACAAGGTATATTGAGATTGAGCCTTGATCGCTCGAGGTTGCGCACTTGGGTGCGAGGACAGATCGTCGAGAGATGATGTCGCAGATTTGATCCAACAGAACGAGCCTTGGTTGTGTTAAGATCCCCTCAGATCGAGTCGATAGACACTGTTTCGTGTTCAATGACTAATTACACATTGTCTGGTAGCGAATTGGATTGTTTATCTGCTTGGCAATTAGGTAACGTGGGTTCGAATCCACCTCAAGGTACAATATATTCTAATACAGCGGACTGTGTTTTCGAGAGTAGGTCCGGTTTCAGCTTTCACTCGATATCACGATTAGGCTCTACAGTTATATTTTAATTGGTAAAAAAATATCATTTTACCATGAATTGTTTTGTTAATGCAATTTCATGGTAAAAAAACGATCAAAGATCATCTTACTTGTGATATTGTGAGAGATGAAATAGGGGTTTCATTCTTGATACTGGTAGTATATGTTCTGATTTAATTGAAGAATGGAGAGATTGTCGTAGATGACAATGCAAGTTAGCATCCGCTTCCAGGACATTAACTTGGGTCTGCTTTGGGTTTTTGAAATCCGGTATGTCTTTCATCACAAGACTTTCGTTAGCCGATCTTACCGTGGACATCACAAAAAGCTATATATATTCAAATTTCTTTCTATTTCCCCTTTCAAGACCATTGATCGATTGCATTACCCCTCTTCCTCCTATCCTTACCATTTCGCGAATTTTTCTCTTTGGTTTTTCCCTTTCATGTCGGAGAATATAGCCTGACTGAATTGAAGAACTTATTATAATAATCTAAAGATTATATGCGCCTCATTAAAGCGTCCCATTACTCCTAAATATTTCACAATTACTCCTGTGGGTTCGGGTAGGTAATTACCTCCTGGTTTAAAACCCCTGACATCAGAGACACATATACATATATCTATAGGAATGCTATCCTTTAATAAATGTGATGTCTTTGAGAAATAGATATGTTTTATTGCTTGTCATATAAGGCTCACGAAATCCAGACGACAACCTGAAGTTGATCGAGTATCTGGTAAAGGTTTTATAAGAGAAACTCTCTTATAGAAGCACTGGCCTAGGTCACAAGTAGAGACTGTGAATTACATCATTGGAATACATCAATAAAAGCGACAATGAAATCTTCAAACAAGATGAACACGTCTTTGTGTCTGACCATATTAGTTAAGCCACTTATTTTATTGGTTTTATATCGATATAACCTCATCTTACAACATCTTAGATCAAAACGTGTTGACTGAAGTGTCAAGATTTTTTTTGCTAAGATACTCATGAAAAATGAAAATTAGATTTTACCAACTTTATGGTTTATTTTTGCATTAATATATGTACATAGTGCATTGCACTGGTCACTAGTGCAGGGAAAACGAACATTGTGATGATTAATAAGCGGCAACCATTGATCTGGAGTCTAGTCTGATTGTTCTTTCTCACGAGTAATATGGCTGACTGAAAGGAAATGAAAGGAGTTTTACTTCCTAATTTTTTGCATTTTCTGATAATGAGCCCACTTAACTTTCAAATCAATAAGGCGTAAAACTCCATTTCTGATTTTTACCATCAGTTGTAGTATTGGTGTCTTGCTTTGATAAGTGGCAAAGTATTCGAGATTGTACGAAATCTGAGATCTATAAGCAAGCAGTGATGCCGTGTTATACAACCTTCCTTGAAAAACAACCGCTAGAACCTTCATCACCAGGTTATGAGCGAGCTGGCTTCACAAATGATCGCCATATTAATACCTACTGTAAGTAAGTATATTTTGTATATAATTATTCTGTAAATAAATAACAAATCTACAGCAGTTTTGGAACACTTATTATTTGTATACTTACGACTTATTATCTAAAGGTTACGACTGGTCATTTATTTGCTTACGACTGGTCATTTCTTGACTTGCGATATATTATTTATATACTTTCGACTTTTTATTTGTATACTTACGAATAACTATTTTTTTCTGACGTTCGACTTATATTTTGTAAACTTATGACTTATCATTTGTATACTTACGACACTTGTCATTTAAATTTTGAACTGAACACTTACTTTTTATCCTGCTTTTCGTAGACCGTCCGGTTTCTTGTAGCGGATTTGCAACTTTTTTCTGACTCTGGGTTTATTCTTTACAGATTTGCCACTCATTACAATCTTTCAGAAGTCTTTGTTTATGCCTGGATATTTCAGGTTCAATATGGCGGAATATATTGACTTTTTAAAATGTCTGAATGCAGAAGATCTGAAATGTTATAAAAATGTAAATTATCCTGGCCTGGCTATGACAGCCTCTAGTATAGAATCGGCGGTAAAATATTTTTGTAGTCGTTCGGAATATGGTAAGCATTGGTCTATTACATGTTGTGGATGTCTTAAGGGGTTCTGCTGTCTTGGGACTGCTACTTGTATATTATCAATTGACTTGTAGCTTTATAATTGCAGATTATTTTGTTTTACTGCCTGATTTAAGCGTCCTTGGTTTCGGCGTGCGATATATTAGACTCATTTGGTACTATTTTACCATACCATGTGTCGGCTGGCGACTCAGGCCCGAAGCTAAAGAATAATGACGACCAATTCGATTACAGTAACCAAACACCATACAAGATTGCCTCTCCGAATATATTACTTGCCCTGCAAACAATTAAGCCTGGCTACGGGCCTGTCGTGACTTTCTATTTGTAAGAAGCGTAGTCTTATGAAGGCTTGAAGACCAAAATCTTTGCAAATTGTGTTTCAGAGCGGAACATGACGTGTGGTGCCCGGAATACAGAGCTCCAGATGTGTAATGTTGTTGGGTACAATGCCAGAATACCCCCTGATGCTAACTCGACCCACCAACAACATATAGACTACGAGTGTGGGTAAGTGGTATATTATTGTGATATTAATATATTATATATTTAGTATTCTATAAGCATACATCCACTAAACCTCTTTACAAAGATACTAAGACCACCAATCGTCGTATATATAAGGAGACATGTTCAGATTGGTATGCAGTGACGTATTTAGGAGGAAGGGACATGGTTGCGCCCACTCCCCTTTTTGTCAATGAAATCCTCGCTACGCCACTGCTATGTAATATTGCCGCCCTTGTGGTTGGTTACAACCTTTATTATGGTCAATGTGGTAAATTGTGGTGAAATCTGAAACAGCATAAGCAAAACTAATCCAAACCCTTTCTAGTGCCATAGATATTGTGTTTAATACTTACCGTTGGTTCCCTGATTATTTCTCTTTCAGATCATTGCGTATTGCTATCGACTGCCTGAGGACAATGAAATGTTGATTACAACAAATTGTACTGAAGCTCAGACAACGCTCCTACAAGTTTTGGAGATTTCAATTCCACCTGCATGTCTTAATGAAACTAGTGAACAAAATCAAAATGGCGGAGAGGCTCAAAATGGCGATAACCAGAATGGCGGGAAAATTCAAACTGGTGACGAGGATCAAAATGACCAAGAACTAAATGACGCAGAGAATGAAAATGGCGCAGTGGTTCCTGACAAGTCTAAAGCATATGAAAATGGCGGAGATATCATGGGATTAAATTCTGGAAATAGCTTTCGAGATACAGGCAGACATTCATGGGGTTTGTTTTATCTGCAAATGGCATCAGCAGTTTTACTTTGCCACATTCTTATTCTGTAAGAATCAAATTTATCAAGATGATTACTCACTAATATCTTAAAATATTTAATTAACGTTTTGTCCTGCTGTGTGTTTCCCCTGTAAGATTAATTTCTACCCTTTTCATCAAAAGATTTGTGACTATTAAAGGGATTGTAAAGAGGTTTTCTAAAAAAAAATTTGTATTGGGAAGCCGGTAGCACCGATTCGCACCATTTCGATTTTCAATCAGACCTGCAATTTCCCAAAAAGAGGTGTTTGATGACATCAAAGCAAAATATGCTTTATCACACAGGACCCGTCGCAATTAGCGACGGCATCAAACACTTTGTGTTAGTAGAATTTCATGAACCACAATCGTTTGGTCGAAAATGGAATGCTGCAAATTGATGCTATCAGTGTTCACGATACAGAATGAGAAGACGTCTCTACCATTCCTTTGAAGGGATATTGCTGCTAAAACTGTTCAGAGCTCTCAATTTCAGCTTTAAATATATCCCTTTTCATATCAAAATCCATTTTATCTCCAATTTAATAAGATAAGCACCAAAGGGAAGGAATAAGGAAAAATGACAACTAATTTAAGTTATAATTTATTTACAAGTAATGCGCATGATCATGTCCGACATGAATTGAATTCTTAAAATCTTACGAGAAATAAATTTAAACATTCAAATCTATTGGAAATATTTTAAAGATCAATGACACACAAAAATATTTTGCCAAGGGTAATTTCTCATCCAGAATAACTTCCATTAAATAGCATCCATATATATATTCAAAGAAAGTGGTCTGCAAGCACTTAGTACCATATAATTGTGAAAACAATGCGCACCTATTTGTACCCTCGAGTATGCTGTATTTTGAGGTAGTATAAGAAGTAATGGATACAATATAATTCTGGATTATATAGCACCAATTACCACCTATTCTACCAAAAAACAAATTAGAATGGTCTTGCGAATGATTTGAATCTTGCCACGATTATCTTCACAATGGTCAAGGCATTATATCTTAATATGTGAATACAGCAATTTGAGCCTTCGGCACAGAGACTAACAAATAAGTATACATGAAATCCAGGGCTCTAACTGGCTGTATTTGCTGACGTACAATCCAATCAAATTGTTGAAAACAAGAAAGTGGGCCAAGGTATAGTCAAAGTATAAGATGAAGGCGCAATACCCTGATCATTGTGAAGATGGACACTAGAGGTTGAATGTGAAAGTCTACATCCTACCGTTCAGACTTCTAATGAGAAATGACAGACTCTTAAATAACAAACTTTTTCTTGTTTATCAACAAAGACTTTTATTACAGCCAAGCTGAATAATTTGTGCATATCAGAAGTTGGATTATAATTTACGTACTAATTTAGAATCATCCTAGATATGCAAAAATAATTTGCTTGGCTTGAAAATTAATGAAAACAGAAACAACAAACAATTAAAAGATGTGTCTTATTAACAAACATAAAGAAATTATTGATCCCACTTAAAATATATACAAACATACATAAGGGCCGCTCGATTGGTGAGTTCTGTACGTTCGGAATTCATGGAATCAACAGAACGTTCAATAAAACAACTTGGAACAGAGTTTAGAACGCCTTCCTCATATGCTGGAAAAATAGTAGATGTAGATACAATTCAAAATGGTGGAGAAGGAATAAATGGGAAAAATTTGAATGCGACATATTCCACTTTTATACCCTTTGATTGAGGGCAGAATTGGAACTGATGGAACCTGTTCAGAACCAACCAATCGAGCACCACCCTACAATCAAATGTCAAAGAAATGCAATGTAGTAGAGCAATGATATTTATTTTTAGAATTAAACACACTGTATCCATTTCATTTTATAACAAATTGTTTAAATTAGTCAGAAATATTATTTCTCTTATATCATGGGAAAAGTTTATGAGTTGCTTCTAATGTTTTGCCAATATGTTGTTTGGATTTCGGGTTCTCGTTTAGCAGTTCAGATTGTTATCAGTTGTTGGTTTCTTTATCTGTAGATCATGAAACACGATTCAATATGAAACATTATAATTTGAGTTTGATATCATAATGACAGTATTAATAACAGCACTGTGAAAATATGATATATATCTATTTTATATTTACAATTTATCAACATATTATAACAAATAATAAATATCTTCTGTCTTCTTAATCTTCTAATAAATCTTCATCTAAATTAACATCCTGTAATATCAAACAGCAAGCAGTTAAAGGAATTGTTAAGATTGTAAAACTTTTTAGGATAGCACTGATTTTCATAATTCCAATTTTCATTCAGCTGTCTGTGGTGCTTGTAATTCCACCTAAAACTTAGCCTTCCATGACGAAGATATTGCTAAGGTCTTTTATATAGCAACTTTCCAGAAACACAGTTAATTTAGCATTGGAAATTTAAAAAGTTTTTACACTATGCTTTGGTAATAAGCCGTGTACGTTGAAATTCTTCTACAGTTGGAAATCAAAAAAGAGAAGGCTAATAACACTGTTCCAGAAAATTTTTTCCTTTCCTCATTGCATACTGCATGATATTGCTCCACTATAATAGCCTATTTAGGTGCAGAAAACAAAAACATGAAACAATATTACTGTCCTGTATTCTGTTGATGATAAAATACTTTTTCTCTTTCAATGTAATTTAACTAGGAACTTACTGTACAATAAACAAAGTAAGAAGACACCTTTTAAGAGTGACTTAAGTATTTTATTCTGAGCTTTCATCATCGTCAAGACGACTTCATCAGCCGATTGATTTGGAATGATTTGAAAAAAAAAAACTTACTGAAGTATCGATATCATCATCTATCTGTAAATTATCTAAATCTAGTTCCAATTCCTGTTCTATCTCGGCTGCCGTCCGACTGCTCACTGGTTCAGACGGTTGAGATTTAGTTACTGGGGCAGCTTTAGGTGTGGGCACTGGTTCTGGTTTGATTGGATCTAGAACTGGTTCCGGTTTGATTGGATCTAGAAGTGGTTGTGGTTTAGAGACCTGAAATACATCAACCGACAATTGGTGACATTGTTAACACAATCTGTACACAATATTTCAAAAAGACAATATGAAAATATTGATTTCTATTTATCCTTTTGAGGCTGGGGTGGGGCAACTTGTTAGCCGCCATCTTGAAAAGAATTCAGTTCTATTTATTCTGTCTGTGACATCATATTGATAATGGTAAACAACTCAGATCTTAGTTACAGTCTATCATTTCATTAACAGTTTATAACATTTTAAATAATGGTGGTTTGTTACATTGTCATAATCTACTAGTTAATCATGCTTATTTTATACGAGTTGACTGATTAATTAATAATCAAAAAGACTTACAGGGGGTGATTTTGGTGTTATTAGCTCTGTATCCTTTTTATCTGACTCCTCTGTATCTAAATTCTCTGATTCTGACAGTCTCTGTACAGGTTCATAATCAAAACGACCTTCAGCCTCGGCAGCCTGCATCTCTTCCACTGCATTACGGGAACTATTTTGCTAAAAGTGAAAGAAGGTGGGGGTTAGGAGGAAAATGTCTGAAAATTACCGGCTTAAAACCTGCCTTTAATACAATATGGAAGTACATTCCTTCAATTTTTACATTTTAACACAATTTTTACAATGAAAAAAATGTTTATTTTCACGAAAAATTGGTGCTTGGCCTTTGGGGGGTACAGATACATCTTGTTAGAATTAGTACATACTAAATAATTACTTACAGGAACTTGTGGGTATTTATGAGCTGGTATTACTGCCTTTCTCTGGGGTTCCAGATATTGTTCAACTTTAAATGCTTCTTTTAAACCAGGGAATAAATTCTCATATTCTGTGGGGTCTGCCAACGATTCAGCAGCCTTTTTATTTATTGTGGCTAGATTTTCTCTCCATAACTTTACTACCCTGAATAAAACATTGAATGAAGTTAACTGAGAAACCTGAGACAAGCAAAATGAAATGAAGGAAGGAATGAATGGTTTTCTACCTCAGACTTTTCTGCACCTGTTTGGGCAAATGAAGACATGCAGTATTTAATGAGAGAAGACAGCAACATAAGACTACTCTTTCTTGATTTCCAACTGTCAACAGGTCTGTTATAATCCCAAATAAATATCAAGTCGCTTTTCAATGTCAGCCCCTCTGACCTGCTTTTAGACTAGGAGAGCCAACAAAGATAGCAATGCCATGTAGTGCTCAGCTAGGGAAATTTAGCAAAAGAATGGTCTTTAAACTATTATCTTAAAGACAAGACAAAACTTAATAAAATATAAACCTTACCTGGATATCTGACTTGGTAAATAAGTTCTGGCAAAGAAAGCAGCCTCTGGTAATCTTCCTGTTTTTATTAAAACATCTAGACATTCTTCTACTCTGTAAATATAAAAAGAGATATCCTAAAATATATTAATAAATAAATATCAAAATTGAAATAGGTTGTTATCAAATGACCAAGATAATTTGAAATTATTATTTTTCTGTATATTTAAATATTTAAGTAAAATTTTAAAAACTTTTTGATTCATGAAAACCATTAAATCAATCAGAATTAACATGCTAATTAAGCACACAATACGTAATTAACAAACTTATTATCGAAATTGACGATTCAACTATCTGAAATTTCGCCAGGACATTCATGTTAACCCTACTCATTTTTGATTTCATTTTTTTTTTAGTCCTTTTGAAAGCATATTACTATTTAATTATAAAAACTTCCAAATAATGAAAACTGGCCATAAATCTTAATACTGGTATGTCACTTTAATCTATTCAATAGGTTTAAATTTTTAAAATGGTATCTAAATAACAAATAATAATTTAATATTTAATAAAACTTTGTCCTCGAGATGCCTATAGTACGGAACCCCTAAGGCGCAATTGTAAACATATTTATTTATTATTTCGTTTAAACGAAATAATTAATTCATTTAATCGAAATAATAAATAAATATGTTTACAATTGCGCCTTAGGGGTTCCGTACTATAGAATTCAAAATTCATGATGAAATGTGATTGCACTTTCTGTACTACAAAGTTTTTTAAAAAATCCCCCCAAAAAAATAAAGAAATAAAAAAGAATAAATTATATCTGAATAGGCATAAATATCTTTATTTGATTATGAAAAATGAAATAATTATTAATGTCACTGTCCTGGCAAATTTTCCTTCATTGCACCCTGCATGGCGTTGCCTCTCATCATTAGCCCACATGGTGCAGAAAAGTAGGATGTAAAACTTCATTCATTTCATTTCATTTCAATAATGAAATATCAATGACACCTACCTTCCAAGAGTAAAGTAAGAAAGGAAAGCAACATTGTTCTGACCAGCTTTCTCGGCAGTATGTCCTAAACGTTCTACCATGTCTCTATTACCAGCTGAACTAGCGAGTAACATTAATCCTCCAAAATCTTGAGCTTGGTGTAAACACTCCTGGGCTAATCCAAATTCACAGTTCTTGATAGCTAGTTCAGACAGTTGCTTCCATTTTTGTTCAGACTAAAAGTGAAAAGATAATGAATAAAGAGTAATTCTCAATTTTGTCCTATTTTAAAGGGACAATTATCTGAAATTACTGGAAATATGCATACCAGACTCGAAATCAGAATGGTGTAATTAAAGACCGAGAGTACTTATTGTTAATTAAGCAGTTTGACCTAGTTTTGGTATTTGGCTCTATAATGCCTCGATATTATTAGTTGAAACCTTTAGAATACGTAGGAGACACATGTCTCTACAATAAGGCGTTTATTTGATTCATTTCTGTACAGTAGTAATCTAACAGTTTCCATAAGGCATAATGAACTCTAAAAGTTAAAGTAGATTTTTTAATAGTTTTGGCCTGGATTGCCCTTTTCAGTTATTAACTATCTAATAATGACCTACCTCAGCCTCTTTAGCTAGTGTATAAGCTATTTTTAGATCGCCCAACTGTATAGCTAGTTCAAATTTATGTTCTGGATCACATGTTACTGCTAAAGCTTGTGATTTAAAACCCTGTAATACAAGTATATATCTAGTTGATATGGTACAATAATACTTATACATATATAAACCTTCACTAAAAATAGTTAATTAAAGTCTTTATTAATGTAAAGATGCCATAGCTATACAACACAGAATACAAATATCCCCTTCAATAAAGGGGATTGATAATCTTAGAATCTCTTTGCATTGATGAAAATATACATGGGCACATATTATCACTTTGAAATTTGGTTATACAAAGGACAATTTCTAACAAAAAAGAAATGAAATGAAGGGAGTTTTACATCCTCCGTGGGACATTTTCCGTAGAAATCTCCAGGAGTGTGTTTCCATTTCCACACAAAGTAATTCTCAGATTATAATTCAATTAATGAAGTTAATATTTAAATTGACGTAAAAATATTAATTGTTAAAATTAGATTCACCACACAATTTACAAAAACAGCAGATGATAATTTACCTGTTTCTCAAGGAAGTGAGCAACTCGAGTTCTCTGTTCACGTGGTACAGTGGGTAAAACTTTATCAGCCGTGTCGAAATCTCGTCTCATGACAGCTGTCTGATATTCCAATACAGAAACCAATAAACTATAGCTAACTACATTCAACTCTTTATCTCCTAAATACATTCTATTCTCCTTCGGTATATACCCCAATAAATACATCACTCTGAATAATACATCAAATATTAAAAACTTTATGGTTCCATCATTCTTAAAGAAACATATTGTTTACCAAAAAATATTTATAATCACATTTTATCATAGAATTTGTGGTATGGAAGTATGGATAATTATCCTCTTTTATAAGGATTGAAATCACATTGGGTTCATCCCATGCTGCCAACAAGTGTTTCAGATATAAAACCGTCATCAGGACAGTTTCATTCAAATATGACGTTGATTTACCAGCAATAGTAAAAGTCACAGAACAAACACAAAAATCAACGAAACATAATGTAGCCTCTAGACTGTCCCCCTCGGACATAAATTTGGCTCTGCCACTGCTTCACTGGTATCAAGAGTTTATCCCATCCCAAGCTGTCAATCAGTGTTTCTAACATCAGGACAGCTAGTTTTTAGAGTTGAGGTTATAGAACTTTGCGATTATGAGCCTGGTAAGTCATTTATGGTACAATAAAGTAAAATGTAATAAGAAATATAGTATTACCTATCAAGATGAGCTACAGTAACTATTTCACCACCAACATAATAATTTAACCTATTGACACTGTTAGTGTATATAAAACAATCTCCTACCCAGATACCAGTTTTAACCACCTCTTCTATCTCCCCTATAACCTACAATATAGACTTGAGACATTAGTACCTGGGTTAGGGCTGGGTAAAATGATCGAAATAATCGATCATTGTCACTAGGAATTCATAATCGATTATATGTCGAAGTAACATTTTCTCAACTGTTACCCGTTAACAAGTAGTAATCTCTTCCACATAGTTTCCCTTCAGCACATTGGACTTGTGCTTCCTCCTATTTATGAACAAGTTCCTTTGACAGTAATCACTGCAAGCTATTACAAAGTTTAATTGGAAGATCTTTCAATATCAAATAAGCTAAAACCTCCTTAAAAAAACCTACCCCACCCCTTAAAGATTATCATACCTCAAAAGCATCCTCAATACCATCCTCTGTCACACTGTCTTTATTGTCCTTGGAATTCTCCACAGCTTCAGGATTATAGCGGAGAATAAAGAATGATTCCTCAGTAGCAATGCATACTAGTTCACCATTCTCACTCCATACAATCTGTAAATAGATATAGATAAAAAATGAGTTAAGTCCCCTTTTCATTCTATTAAGAATTTTCATGGGTTTTAAATGGAAAGGAAAGTATGCATACTACATTAATGTATACAGCAAGTAGCATATAGGACCTGGTTATACTTTCTACCCTAGCAACTAAAACCTTTTTCATGTCATACCCTTGGATCTTCATCTCTCGAAATCAGGTTGAAATCGAAAATAATCATAAACCTATGTTGGGATGAAATTCTAGACCTCTCAGTTGTATCACAAGCAAGTGTTACAAGTGTCCAAGTCACTGCGCCACCAAAAACCCTATGATATCAAAGAAACAGAAGGACATGTGGTTTACTTACACTTTTAGGAGTGATTTCTATTCTTCTGATGAGTTCAGTTGTATCCCAGTCGTAGAAAGCTAGACCACTGACAGATCTTACTCCCAGCATGAAACCTCCATAGATACCTAAATAGTCAAAATAATCATGTAGGAGTGAATGTCAATATACTTATCACTATGGGAAAGCACATCATTTTACCATAGAACAATTGATTGATTGATTCAGAGGACTGTGTAACAAAATGAAGGGAAAGATAGCTTGCCAGGCAAAGAAACATACGCCAACTACCAGCTGTCAGAAACTCCATGTAGGCGTATAAAAATTAAACTGAAACCACTTTGGTTCAGCAGTCTAAAAAGTGCAAGAGAAAAAAAACCTGGCTCCATCATCTGGGGCCTTATTCTGGAAAACTTAACTTGAGATGATTTTTGGTCATCATCTGATTGGTCAATCACTAAAATTGATTTTAAATTTAGTTTTGTTATCCAATCAGATTACTGTATTTCTTAAAATCTGGATTTTATTTAAGTGAAGTTTTGGAGAATAAGGCCCCAGATGATGAAGATACACATCAATATCATATAAATGGAAGAAACAAAACTTTTGTTTTCTGATACAAATTTAAAGTAGTTTTTCTTATAAATTCATACTAATAAAGATCCAATTCTTAAAATAGTTAAATAGTCTTACCTTCAGCCCCAAAATCAGGTTTAAATGACTTTAATTCTTTAAAATTTTTGTATATTTTGACCATACTACTTCCCTCTCTGATAGCATATACAGACGCATCATTACTCCAGGCGAATTCCTGGGCTGAACCATAACTTTTATTACGTAGTGCCATAGCTGTATATATAATATATTCACCATCTCCACAAACTACTACAAATCTATAATACATAGGACAGTACACATGCATATCAATCTGAGTTTAGTCAAAATACCATCGAAACTCTTCACAAGCCAATTTTAAGGTATTTTGTCAGATTTGGAGGTAAATTTTAACAGAATTACTGATAATATTTACTTCAAAATCAGGAATAAAAATCTGTACAAGCAAGACGATTCCATTAATAAAAATGTCGTCCAAAGCATGGCATCGGGAGTAATAATTGTATAGTAGTGGACTCCTCAAAAAAGAAGTACCATCAGGAAAAGAGTAAGCATGGTCTGCTTCGTGCAACACCCACCAAAACATAGCAAAAACTATGTGTCACCAGCCCTACCTATACTGTTGAAGATTAAGAATCAATCAAAGTCTACATACCTTCCATTAGGATTGTGTGCAATGGCTTGTGGGTATATTTCACAACTGCCCATATCTTTCACAGCTAATGGTAGCCGTTCTCCATCTTTGATATCTTGGTCCCCCATAGCCTTAATATTAGCTTGTTGTATCTCGGAATGTTTGGCCCAGATAATTTTACCATTGGAATCCATAGACATGGCTGGTTCTTCTCGACCCAACTAGAAATATAACAATAATAATATATATAAATATGTCAACAAATATCATTCAATTTGTCTAGTTCTAATCAGGGACAATATCACAACTGAGAGCCTTTTAAGGGCCAGATTTGTTAGACTATGCACATGTATCATGTATGCTTGGAAGATCCCTTTGCAAAATTGGGAAAGATTTTTAATCTTAATGGCCCGCCAATTGTAACCAGACTCAAAATAGTCTTATATTGAGTTATATGCCCTCTAAAAGCACAGATAGGCAAGCAAATTTTTAGAGATTCTTCAATCTTACATTGTTTATCAAACCAAGCGATGACAAGCAATGTACCCACCTTAATAATAATGCTACCCTCATCGTAACCTAGAGCTACGTTATTAGACCCTTTCTGTGATGAGATTGTCCATACTCTTTCTAAACCATAGTTTAAAGTGCTCTCTAATCTGTAGGTATTAGCATGCCAAATTCTTACAGTTCCTGAAAATAGGGCAAGTAATCAAAAAATTAGAATTGACCCAGCTCTCTATTAGGCTTCATATGTTGACCATTACTTGGCAATCAACATTTAGAAAACGAGCCTTGACACATAATAAATATTGTATGTAACAGAAATGATAACCTAATGTTCTCTCTCATCTCTAGGTCAAATTCTTACAGTTCCTGACAGGGCTGTTGATTTGGCTCTATTTGCAGGACATGACCGATGCAGCAGCTCAAATATCCCCTAATGGCACTTCTTGTAAATCAACTTTGATATTTTAACTGGTCAGAAAAATATTGATCTTAACATATTGATGAAAATTGCTGCACAAATGATACTTATCACTTTATATTACATTAGTCAGAATAGTAATTAGCAACCAAATAGAGGACACATAGTGTGACAATGTTCAGCAAAAGGTAAAAATAAGAAAATTCACATCAGTTGAGGAAACTGTTAAAGGGATTTTAAAGAGGTTATCTAAATTTGATGTGTATGGGGGACACTGATAGCATCAATTTGCACCATTCCAATTTGTGGTTCCTGTAATTACACTAAAACTAAGTGTTTGATGTTGTTACTAATTGTAAAAGGGCCTTACGTGATAAGGCATATTTTGCAGTTAGTGATGAATGTAAAGTAATAGAATATAATTGACTTACCATCTTCAGAACCTGTCATTATAATGGGTAATTCTGGGTGAAATGATACAGAGGAAATATTCTGAGCATGGCCTTCTAATGTCTGTACACAAGTCTTATTCTGAAATATATAATTTAGCATCAAGTCTGAAGACTTACATTTCCATTAACAACATAGTGAAGAATCTAACAAATTGGAATTGCTATAGACCTTATTCACGTGTCAGCCATATTGAATGCAGAACAAGTCTCATAGAAAACAACCACAGGTAAAAATGTGTCTCTGCAATTAAATCGGCTCCAAGGTGTCTTAAATGCCAAATTCAATTTGGAATTGATTAGGATATTTAATGATAGATTTAGATGAAGTTAACCTTCACATCTATCAGAGAAAGGGCAATTCAAGATTATTTTCTGGATGTTGATAGGGTTAATGTGATGAGACCTTCAGCAAGTTCAAACAGTTTAATTTTCAAACCTATGACAAATTCGAAAATTAAAAATAACATTTATTACCTGATAATCCCAAATCTTAACCAATCTATCATCACCACCAGAAATCAAATAAGGTTTATCTCCCCCTGAATAATAATCAACGCAGTTCACTCCCTTTTCATGGCCTTCTAAGGTGAAGTTTGGTGCATTGGATCCTAACTGCCATACCTAGAAAATAAGAAAGAAAATGCAAAGTTTAATTTCTTAGATCTGGACGAGGGGAAAATAAAAATGGTTTATTAGGACTGGGCGATATACTGTTATCATGATAAATAACAGGTATAGGAATTTATATTGTTAGTAATCAGCTAATCAAAAAATACCGAAATATTGTGATATATGATAGTTATCATGATCCATGGTTAAATTTTTATCCAGATTAGATCATCTACACAATCTGTAAAAGTAACTTAATATTTGAAACAGATTTTTTTTTCATGATTGTGAAGATATTTATTGTTACAGATGTTTTTTTAGAGACTGGGTTGTTTTTATTTACATTCAAATTTCTATATAAAAAAAGAACATTTTGTAAAAAAAAAACAGTAAAAACCATACAGTAATATTGTGATATAAACCCATATCGTGATATATTAATGCTTAATATCGTGATATCAACTTGATATCACCCAGCCCTAGGGTTCATGTATTAACATACCTTTACAGTTCTATCAAGAGAAGCACTAGCAAATTGATTATTATCTTTAGGGTTGATCACAATCTGCATCACATAATGACTATGACCTTCAAATACTTGTGTACACGTCCAGTTCTTATCCCAATCCCACAGCTTAATTAACATATCATCTGAAATAAAACCAAATCACAATTTATTACAACAATCAGATATCATTTTTATATGGAAAATGACAAGCTACTGAAAAATACCTTAATGATAATGATTGTTTATTCCAAATCCATGGCTTATTTATCAAGGTCATAAAGTAACCAAATTTGGAATCGATTTTGAAAAGGAGTATGTTTTCGTATGGTATATTCTGAATATGCTTTGTCATTTTACATTCGGACAATGATAATTGATATTAGCAGATAGACGCAAGTATTATAGACTGAGCAGGTCATCTTTCCTCAATATTACAGTCAGCCAAGCTTAAAATAGTACAGACAATCAAATATATCATTGTAAGAGATAAAGATTGGCTGTGCGACCAGTTATACCTGATTCAGTGACTAGTTTCGTTCATGTTTGAACTCTTCAGACTGATTAGACTCACCTTGCGGGGTTCTATTTATACTGTTCATGGATACCGGTGGAAGGTTACTGGGGTTTGGGTTTTACCGGGGTTCGTAAGTATCAGGTTTTACCGGGGTTTGGGTATATCATTGCCAAATCTGATAAGATCAAGTTAGAAGACAAGATTCTCAGAATCTTTTACCTCAGCTCTTTATGGGTACAAATATCCTAAAGATATTAGTCTGAAGACTATCAATAAAACTGGTATCACAGTTTTTTGTGGTTGAAAAGCCCTTGTTTTTGTCTTTTTTTCAACATGTTTTATACTGTGAACTGAATTTTGCCACAATAGAGACAACAACTAGAGATATATAACATATAAATACATGTTAAATACAATAATAAAGTTACCTACCACTACTAGTAAGTATATAGGGTTGTGTAGGATGAACTGCTATAGATCGTAGGTAATCTGAGTGAGCTTCAAATTGGTGAACACGTTCTAATGTATTATAATTATACACTCTTACTGTCATATCATCCTATAATAGAAAATATCGAAGTTGGGTGTGACGCAATGCTTTATCTGTCTTCGCAAACTGTTTTGTACATTAGATCTTACTGATAAATTTTCACAAAAATCAGCTTCAGGTAAGACAGTTTTAAATATTTTACACATTATCATTTGGAAAGTTGTATTTGCAAAAACAATCTTCAGCCCAAATATGTAACATTTTCAAGTGGAATTTTCTAGGATGAACTTCTATTTCGTAACTTACAAAAAATTACAATTGACACCCACAGAAAGGTAAAAGATATCTCTGGAATACTGATAATCAGGGATAACTGGTCGCATAGCCCATCTTTATCAAAAAAAATATCTCATTTCATCCAATCAAAAAAGGATAATTTAATCTTTATTCATTGAAATGAAGTGTATTTGAGAAACGCTGCTTGTATCCCAAAGTTGATAGAGATAGTATGCTCCAATGGTAAAATATTGTATGTGTTTTATAAGCTTTGAATTATTTTTCTACTTACTGAGCCAGTTATCACCCAATTTTTCCTGGCCACAAACTTAGCCGCTCTAACTGGCAAATCACAAACTTCAAATGACTTGATAAGTTGCTGTAAAACAAAAATATTAATTGACTTTCCAAAAGAATTTTTTTGACCATGAGGAGAATTCAAACCCACAGCACCTAATCTCCCAGCAGACAACAATCTCACCTTTTTCAAACTTAGGCCCACTGTGCTGCACATTGTGTACAAATAAGATCCCTGTGCACAAATAAGATCCCTAGACAGTTGGAAATAAAAAGAATATTCCTCATTTCACACAAGAGATGATGCCTATCTTCATTAGCCCAAAAGGTGATAAAATTAGAACGTAAACATTCATCTTAGGTTGATAAAAACAATAACATACACCTACCTGTGATTCATAATTCCAAATATGGACGTTACCATTATATAAACTAGCCAACATCCATGGCTCACTGGGGTGAAGGTCAACAGACTTGACACGATCAGAACGAGCTGATAGCTTTCGCTTTATATCTAAACGGAGAGGCTGAAAAAAAATATTATTTGATAAAATATAAAAGTCTCACCAAATTAAACACCTACTTATCAATTCAAATCTGAATATGTTTGATAATAACTTTATGTAATATGTATAGCTGAAGCAGAAGAGAATTTCTTTTTTTTTTTTTGAATTTTTAGTGTTTTTTGATCAATTTCATTTGCAATATAGACATAGGACAGTGTTTAAACGTTTAAACAGTGCCAAATTTAATTGTGTCACTGCACTGAATATCTGAATCTTGATTAACTTGATTGATTATATTTGGACAGGTAAACTTGTTGTTATTGTTGGTTTTGGTGAATGATGATGGTTGTTGATATTGATAATACAGTGGGGATTGAAATTTTAGCAGACACCTTGCTACAGTTGGATCACAGAGAAATAAAGGTCTGACACTTACCATTCTTACAGTAGCTACTGAAAAGATCACAAATGAGGATAGGGACGTGTCAAAGAGTTTAAATATGAAAAAATAAGATAAGAATTTACCATAATGTTTTAGTTTATATCACTGTCGGCAATGTTGGAGAAGAATACGTGGACGTCAATACTGCGCATGTGTACCGGAAGTATATTTCTATTACTTTTAGTCTCGATTGTCATATTGACAATCTTTCAAGAAATCAACTGCACCTGATAATCTTGACAAAGGATTTCGTAATATTCTGAAATTACTCCTCAGACAAACTATATAGAAACGAAACTCTCTTATTCTATTTCGATTATTTTACCCGGTCCTAGTCTCTGCTGTCTTCCTAGCTCAGCATTCCTTTTCCAAGACTGCACTAGAAATTTTCCGCCGAGCTGAACTTTGCAAACACATTTAACTAGCATACAGAATCGGGTAGAATCGGGTCGAATCGTCTCAGCATACACATTCGCGGAAAATCGACCTGATATGAAATCTGAATTATTTCTAACTTAAATATTATTAAAATAACTTAATGGTAAGGGAGACAGCAACTTAATAATTCGAATTAGGACTAGTTTGAGATAGTATGGTATGAATTTGAAAATGTTCCTACATGACAGCTAAGACTCGCAAATTACCCGTAAACTCTGGGTATTATTCTGGCCATATATATGTCAATTAGTGTATCTCTTTTACGGGCCTCTGTGCAAAAAGTAAGGGAGACAACAATTTGGTGATTTGATATTTCGAATGAAGTTTATGTGAGATAGTATGGTATAATTTCAAAAATTTTCTACGACGGCTAAGACGCGCGAATTGCCCGTAAACTCTGGATAATATGCTCATATAGGACATATATATATGTGTATGTCTTTAATGGGCCTCCGTACAAAAAGTAAGGGAGACCCATGCGGTCTTGGTGATTTGATATTCTATATAACTGTAGTCTTACATACATATAATATAGGTGCTTTATATAACTGTAATCTTAATGGCAAGCTACACAATTACCAAAGCCGTGGAGTAGGGGACGGGGAATGGGGAAGGAATCCTGATAATGGGAACTGACAGAACCTCCTGGAAGTTCTAATATTGCTCTCAATTCCATGAGCATGATGGGTTATTTGTCAGTGACCACATGACCAATAATAATTAAATCACATCAATTGATTTTGCAGTGTTATTATAACTTAAAATTTGACGTCACCCTTTGATCTCGATGTACCATTATCCAACATTTAGTTCACTAACATAACTTTACACTAATAAATATTATAAATGTGTTCTAAAATATTTGAGTCATTCTGCCCCTTATTTGTAGCACTCGTCTCGATCGTAGCAAAATGTCGTGCTAACAACCCCCCCCCCCCCCCCC